CACGCAAGAGACCTTCATCCGCCACTGGATACCTTCCTTGGGCCAGGTGCGCGGACCTTACACATTCAAAAACTTTTATTGTGAAATGCCTTAACAGTTTTTTTCCACTGCATACACACAAAATCTTTACTTGTCACAGTTTCTGAAAGCTGAGACTCAAACAGCAGAAGCACACACCAAATCTGCAAAACCATACGCTAATTCTCAGCCTTTGACTCAGTTTTCAATTTCATAAAACACTTTTTGCAAAACACAACACACAGTTCTCTATGTAACACACACAAATCTAACAGTAAGTATCTTGATTTCCTTTTTCAAACACAACCAATCAGAATGCCACACTAATTCATCACTAACTCCTCACACATGCTTCACTGAACACCAACCAATCATGGCTTTAGAACAGGCCTATAAATATACATCTCACAACTACACATGGTTGATGTATTTCTTTTCTTTCATACTGTTTCACACTGTACTCACAACCACAAATGCTTACAGTAAAAGAGTTTGGTTTCAATCTTGCTTTCGTGTTTACCGTGAATGTGTCAACATTTCTCCAATTACTTTTAATCTTGTACAGAAATCTACATAGGAGCTCATGAACGAAAAGCTTCAGGTTTTGAATAACCGTGTGCATATGATATATCCAAAAAATATAATATTAGCCTATGGCAAAGGTGTTTGAAAAGCAAGACAGATGTTTGCTTTTGAGATGTGTTTGTGATGTTTTGAATGCAGTGCTTCATTTTGCAAAAGATGAGGCATTTTGCATTTTGAGTGTGCAATTCTTGGATTTATGTGTGAAGTTTTGAAAAAAAGAGGCAAAGTTTTGAAAATGTAAGCAATTGAAAAAAAACTGTAATGTATTAAAACCATGACATTAAAATATCAAATTCCGTATACACCCTATTGATGATGCATACTTTGTATGCAAGCAGATGAGCCAGAAATATGCACTAATGGTTAAAACTTTTCTATAAGAAAACACTTAATGTGAAACTTTGCAAGCTGCATTTATATTCTGGGTTCATCTGCTTGCCTGTACAAACTAAGAATAATACAATAATCCTCCAACCCATATATCGTTTGTCACTATCCTCAAATACAACCCATACGACCGTTCCCTAAATTAGTGCCCTTACCGTTAGCAGGAGATATGCTACAGAAACTTTCACCTAAATGCATTGTGGATTACTTTTAATATGCTTCCTATTTGCGTTTTAGACTCTCGCAACTATCTGAAGTGTTTTATTGCAAAAAAATTAGTTATCTAATTTTACTAATTAGTTCATTAGTAAAATCAATTAATTAAAAGATGGCGCCAGATAGTGTGTTGGCTTGCCATCGCTCTGCCTTTAGGATGTCTGTACTTTGTTTGTTTGTATTATTTTTATGTTTTATAAAACTGCTTGAATTGCTCACAGTTGATTTATGACTGCTTTACATGGTTGAGCCTTCGATCTGCTGCTTTGGAGATGTGTAGCTGGGATTTGAATATGAAATTATTCGCTGAACAGCCATGCACGTTCCAGCCGCCAATGAAAGCCTGTCATGTAACTGGCTGTGTGTGCTGGAAGAAGAGATGCCGCAGGAGACGGGGTACACAGGCTGGAGTTTTGGTAAAACTTAAGAATCTGAGGATCCTAAACAGAGGAGTTAGACCAGCAGCGGAGTTGCGGCCTTCCTATCTGATACATGTTCTCCCTGACACATCAACACTATTGCCTTGGACTACATTGAGAGGGACAAGACGCGGAGGTGTAGTGCACTCAAACTTGCGCCCTGTGAGACAAGCCGAGTCAACGAAGCTAAGTGGTTCTTCTAATCGGTCCATTGTATTGACCACTGTGCATATGGCTTTGATAAATGCACGTTCAGTTGTCAACAAAACATCCATCCTGAATGACTTTTATGTAACGCATGGGCTGGACTTTCTCTTTATTACTGAAACTTGGTTAAATGATGCTGACACAAGCCCTCTTGCTGAGCTTTTACCAAGGGAATGTAACTACTTAAGTACAATTTGATAATACCTAGAATATCAAAATCAACTGCGGGCGGCAGATCCTTTTCCTATTTAGCTCCCAAACTCTGGAATAACCTACCTAACATTGTTCAGGAGGCAGACACACTCTTGCAGTTTAAATCTAGATTAAAGACCCATCTCTTTAACCTGGCTTACACATAACACACTAATACGCTTCTAATATTCAAATCCGTTAAAGGATTTTTGAGCCTGCTTTCTCCCAAGGTTTTTCTCCATTCTGTCACCGATGGAGTTCTGGTTCCTCTGGCTTGCTTAGTTGGGGACACTTCATTTCCAGCGATATCGTGGACTTGATTGCACAGATACTATTTAAACTGAACTGAGCTGGATGTTGACATCACCGAATTCAATGATGAACTGCCTTTAACTGAAAATTCAGTGTTTACTATTGTCCTTCTGCATTATTGACACAATATTTACTAATTAATGCTGTACAGTTGCTTTGACAATCTGTATCGTTAAAAGCGCTATATAATTAAGGTGACTTGACTTGACATATGGCACCAAGCCCTCATGGATTCCTCAAGTGAAACAAAACTAGAGGTATTTCGTGTTGCATGACAAGAAAGTACTTTCTCTTACAGAAAAGCTTTAAAAACTGCTAGATCTGATTACTTTTCGTCTCTTTTAGAAGAAAACACAACCCCAAGTATTCAATAAAATTAAAAAATATATAACATCAGCACGTGCAGACATTTCCCAACAGCACAGTAGTAATGCTTTTATTAACTACTTTACTTCCAAGATCGATACAATTAGAGATAAAATGGTAAGCATACAGCTGTCAGCCACAGTATTGCATCAGATAGGAACAGTTCCCCTCATTTTCTTCCATAGGAAAGGAAGAATTGTATAAATTTGTTAAATCAATTAAACCAGGGGTGTCCAAACTCGGTCCTGGAGGGCCAGTGTCCTGCAGAGTTTAGCTCCAACTTGCCTCAACACACCTGCCTGGAAGTTTCTAGTATGCCTATAAGAGCTTGATTAGCTGGTTCAGGTGTCTAATTGGGGTTGGAGCTAAACTCTTCAGGAGACCGGCCCTCCAGGACCGAGTTTGGGCACCCCTGATTTAAACCAACAACATGTATGTTAGACCCTATTCCATCTAAGCTACTGAAAGAGGTGCTTCCAGAAGTCATAGATCCTCTTCTGACTATTATTAATTCGTCATTGGTATTAGGCTATGTCCCAAAAACCTTTAAACTGGCTGTTATTAAGCCTCTCATTAAAAAAACACAACTTGACCCCAACAAATTAATGAATTACACACCTATCTTGAATCTCCCTTTTCTGTTAAATATACTAGAAAAGATAGTATCATCACAACTATGTTCCTTTTTAGAGAAAATGGTATCTGTGAGGATTTCCAGTCAGGATTTAGACAGTATCATAATACTGAGACTGCTCTCATTAGAGTTACAAATGACCTCCTTTTATCATCTGATTGTGGGAGTATCTCTCTACTGCTACTAGATCTTAGCGCGGCATTTGACACTATCGACCACAACATTCTTTTGTCTAGAAAATGATGTTGGCATTAGAGGAAGTGCATTAGCATGTTTCAAATCATACTTATCTGACCGCCATCAATTCGTGGCAGGGAATAAAGAGGTATCATATCGATCACAAGTGCAGTATGGAGAACCTCAAGGCTCAGTACTAGGGCCGTTACTTTTCACGGTTTACATGTTACTCTTGGGAGATATCATTAGGAAACACAGTGTTAGCTTTCAATGTTATGCTGATGATACTCAGCTCTATATTTCTTTGTGGCCCAACGAAACATACCAATTTGCAAAACTCATGGAATGCATAGTTGATATAAAAAGGTGTTAATTATAGGACCAAAAACCTCCGCATGTAATGACCTAGAACACTGTCTAATACTTGATGACTGCTCTGTAAATTCTTCGTCATCAATTAGGAACCTAGGTGTGCTATTAGATAGCAATCTTTCCTTCGAAAGTCACGTTTATAGCATTTGTAAAACCGCATTTTTCCATCTCAAAAACATATCTAAATGACGACCTATGCTCTTAATGCCAAATGCAGAAATGTTAATTCATGCATTCATGACCTCAAGGTTGGATTATTGTAATGCTTTATTGGGTGGTTGTTCTGCACGCTTAATAAACAAACTCCAGCGGGTCCAGAATGCAGCAGCTAGAGTTCTTACTAGAACCAGGAAGTATGACCATATTAGCCCGGTTCTGTCAACACTGCACTGGCTACATATTAAACATCCTATAGATTTTAAAATCTTGCTAATTACCTATAAAGCCCTGAATGGTTTAGCTCCTCAGTATTTGAATGAGCTCTTATTGCATTATAGTCCTTCATGTCCGCTATGATCTCAAATCTCTGGCCATTTGATAACACCTAGAATATCAAAATCAACTGCGGGCGACAGATCCTTCATGTTCCATGAATATATTTTATATTTATGTAATTTACCTACTCAAAATAACAAAATTAATTGGCTAAATAAAATCCATATTTGCCTATTTGAAATATGTTGCTGATATATATGAGAGCAGGCAGATCTGTAATCAAATCAGATCAATTTATTGTGCTACAGTGTGTAAAAATCTATAGTGTGTGCATGGACTATCAACACTGTCATGTTCAATACAATATACACAATACAAAGAATATTGAACAAAGTATACACATAATACATACTGTACACAGTATTTACAGTATACACTAAATGATTTACTGATGATGGGATGCAAAGCCAGGGATAATTAATGCTCTTTTTGCAGTGAGAAGGACGTTTTGAGTTCAGAAATGTACAGTCTGTTGTTAGAATGCATTAAATTCTTATGTCAAAATATCAATGACAATTGATTCCCCATAATTTAATATCTGATATCTAACGTAAAGCATTTAATATATAAAGTAATCATAATAAATAATAGTATAATAAATAATGATAAAAAGTTGGTGATATTACAAAAAAATTCATGACTTTTAGCAGCTATTTTGGGAGAAAATGCACTGTCTATATTTAGATTTGAGATGAAATGAGACCTTCTGTGATCAGTGGTGCAGTTGTATCTCTGTATGGACTGTCATATGTCTTGTTATGTTACTCAGATGTTTGAAGGTCCTTCCACACTGAGAGCAGATGTAAGGGTTTTCTTGGGTGTGGATCCTTGTGTGCGTCTTCAGATGCTCTTTCCGAGTGAAGCTCTTTGGACACTGGTGACAGCTGTGAGGCCGCTCTCCGGTGTGAATCCTTCCGTGTCTCTTCAGGTCACTGTTATGAGTGAATCTGTTCCCACACTGCGGGCAGGTGAACGGACTCGCTCCGGTGTGAATGCCTATGTGATCACTCAGGCTTCTTTTATAGGTGAAGCTCATCCCGCACTGATGGCACGTGAAGGGTTTCTCTCCGGTGTGAATCCGTACGTGATCCTTAAGGTTTCCTTTCTGTGTGAAGCTCTTTCCGCACTGTTGGCAGGTGAACGGCTTCTCTCCGGTGTGAATCCTCGTGTGAGCCTTGAGGTGACTCGTTTGCGTGAAACTCTTTCCACATTGAGAGCAGGCGAGAGAGGTTTTGGATCTTCTGTTTCGTGACAAACTCTTTACCGTCTGTGCGCCATTTAAAGACTGATGTCCGCTTCTCTGATACTGAGGTTCCTCTTTCACCTCCATCAGCTCTGAAATGAACATGCAGACAAACATTAATCAAAAGGGACTAAACCAATGATGCACCAGTTCAGATGGGCATTCATTTCAGTTTATATTTTAACAACAAATTGGAGTGGAATCATAATTATACCATTAAAAAGTTGATATAAAAACTTAATTATTAAATGAACTGAAATATGAATATTAAAGTTATTTATTCAATGTAAGTTTTCACCAAACATTTAACCATGTTTTGATGCACAGCATTTTCTTTGACGTGTATACTTGTATGTATGTATGCACATACACACACACACACACACACACACACACACACTAACTCGCATGCACACACACACACACACTCACTCGCATGCACATGCACACTCACACACACACACTCGCATGCACATGCACACTCACACACACTCGCATGCACATGCACACTCACACACACACACACTCACTTGCATGCGCACACACACACACACACACACACACTCACTCACAGACACACACTCACTCACTCACTCACTCACACACACACACACACACACACACACACACACACACACACACACACACACACACACACACACTCACAGACACAGACACAGACACACACACACACACACACACACACACACACACACACACACACACTAGCTGACTTACAAAACAGACCACTTTATTTATTTAACAGACTCTTTATTCAAGAGTCTGTCAGCAAAAGCAGCTTTGAAAAGGCCTCTACACATTCCTCCAAGTCAAACACATTATCAGAACGTCCTATTTTTTGCAAACTTATAAGTTTAGGCTGCTTAGGAACATGTGACAAACGTAACCTACAGGAATAATGTCTGTAGCTCATAACCAGAGGATAAGAGCAATCATTCTACAGAAGGCATTAGTGATGAATCAAACCTGTTTGTCGCTCAGCATCCTTTATTTCGCTTGCTTCTCGATCACTGGTGTCTTCCCCCTCTTCTTTAATAAACTCCATGCTTATAATATTAAGTCAAGTAGCTCTCTCAGCTGTTTCACTTGGAGATTGCTCATGTTTAAGATGGAAAAATGACCTGAAATAAATAAATGCAGAATAAATCTCTCTTACTCATGTCACAGAACCCCATTACAGCATGCAGTACTTACTGTTGTGCTGCAGTACATCTGCAAACACTTTAAATCCACCTGAGCGCTCTAACACTGATGGGTTCAAAACAACAACAAACTAGTCTGGCGCAGCATTATGACGCATCACACAACACACATCAAAATAAAAGTCTTGTTCATATGTTACGGGATACTACTACTACTACTACTACTACTAATAATAATAATAATGCAATTAACAAATTATTAATTTCAATACCACAAAAACTAATTTTAATCATACTTACATAAACAGTGTAAATATCTAACGTTAAGCTGAGTAGTATTTTCACATTGTTGTACGACATGTGTATTTTAATTTTAATTTCACCAGATAAAATCACCCCGTGTCCGTATATTTCATCCTCAATATAATATGGAAACCTCGATCGAACAGGACTTTTATTTTGATGCATGTTTATACGTCATAACTCCGCGCCGGCGTGTGCAGGGGTTCGGCTGAGAGGTTTGTGGACTTGAACCCATCAGTATTTAAGGCGTTTAAACTGATTTAGAGCACTTTTCTTTTTTTTAGAAACGTATTGCAAATTAAGGTAGAGTGTTAAATGTAATGGAGCTGCATTAGTGATGTGTAAGTCGAGTTGCAGAAAGACTATTTTTTTTAATTACTTATTTTATTTATTATTTAATTTTCAGTTCTTTATTCTCAAAACTCAAGGTGGAACAACTGAGATCAGTGTGACATAATATTGCAAACATGGAGTTTATTAAAGAAGAGAATGAAGAAATGGTGATTCCAGATCCGTGCAGAGTGAAAGAAGAAGACACTGAGGAGAAAATAGGTTGGTTTCTGTTCCATTACACAGTTTTTACTCTATTAATAATATTTTTGAAAATGTTTACAGTCATATAAACTGACATTAGATTAGTTATAAAG